TCAAGATTCCAAAGGATGGAGGCAACCAACAGTCCTACCCATCTATGACATCTTTGAGCCACAACCAGAGTGGCATGATAACTATAAGGGTGCAATAATGGTACACATACCTTAGCAGTAACCAACAGTTCTCTAATTGGAATTAAGACCTGCTCAACAAGAGGGAAACCATGCCTGGTACTGGAAATCCAGGGGTAGGGAAATCATAGATCTTGGAGGAGAACCTACAATTGCCACTTCACTACACTAGCATAATCCTAAGTGTATTCTAAATATCTGTCCTTATGCCCACAGAAAGAACAGTGCTCACCCTCCACCAAGGAAATGTCTCTTTGCAAGAGACAGAGACCATTACAGAAAACCACAACTGATCAAATTGAAGTTGTAGAGTCCAGTGCCAACTACAACACAATTCCTGCACCTAAGATTCAGGGATCATTGTGGAAGAGGGGGCAGAAAGATTGCAAGAGCCAGAGGTACAATGAATTTGCTATTAGATTATATCTCCTAGCAATGTCAAAAGTTACACCCATGACGTCTCACCAACATGGCTGTCATGTTGACAACACCAAGTGTGGTAGTTTGAATGTATCTGGCCCTCAAAGGGAGTGGCTCATAGGGAGTGGCACTATTAGGAGGTGTGGCTTTGTTGGAGTGGGCATGGCCTTGTTGGAAGAAGTGTGTCACTGTGGGGGTGGGCTTTGAGGTTTCCTATGCTCAGGATAATGTCCAGTGACTCAGCTGACTTCCTATTGCCTGCAAGATATAGGATTCTCAGCTACTTCTCCAGCTCCATGTCTGCCTGCATGCCACCATGCTCCCTGCCATGATGATAATGGACCGAACCTCTGAAACTGTAAGTGAGCCACCTCAATTAAATGTTTTCACTTACAAGAGTTGCTGTGGTCATGGTGTCTCTTCCCAGCAATAGAAACCCTAAGACATCAAGTGTTCCTTCATAATTTGTCTCTGGCAATCGCTGCTATCCATTGTCCCTGTTGTTTTGTCTTTCCCAGAATGTCATGAAAACGTAAGCACATAGTAGATACTCCTTAAATCTTAGCATAAGCTAAGTACATAAGTGGAAACTATGGACAGTTGCCTATTTTTGTAATGGCTCATATGCAAAGAATGATTTTTTTTTTTTTTAATTTTGAGACAGGGCCTCATTATGTATCCTTGGCTGGCCTCAAACTCAGAGATCAACCTGCCTCTGCCTCCCAAGTGCTAGGATTAAAGGTGTGCACCACCATGTCCAGCAAGACTGATTTTCAAAAAGTTGAGGGAGAAAAGTCAAAAGGATAATACTTCATGATTAGAAAGTATATGAAGTCCAAATCCAATGTCCAAGATTGACATTCAGTTGAGACACAGGCACACTCATTTGTAGACCTGCTACCTGTGGTTGATCACATGCTACAGATGCAGTTACAGAGTTATGAGAGACCATATGGCTAGCAGTACCTAAAATATTTACTGTCTGGCCCATATGGATAAAGTATGGTATAAAGGGAAACACACTCACAATCCAATGACTCTTTTGGGTACTTATCCAAGAAAACTTGAAATCTATTTTCACAAAATCTGTACACAAGTGTTTATGGTGACAGTGGTTATAATTGCCTACAACTGAAAACACTAGAATCCCTCTACTGGTCAAGAACTAAACTGTGGTATAATCCACACACTGGAGTATCACTCAACAAACAAAAGAATGAACTACTGACACAAGCAACAAAGGTCATTCTCAAACGTCTTATGCTAAGTCAGCATCAAACTTGTTCTACAGAGGGCCAGACAGCAAATATATAGAATTTGCTGGGTTTTCCAATAACCAAATACGCATCTAGACTCCTGTTTTTAAAAAAGATTTACTTTATCTTTAATTGTAATTGTGTGAGTGTACAATGAGTGCACATGCTCATAAAAGGCTAAAAGCTGGAGTTACAGGAAGTTATGAGTAGGCAATCTGTTAATATACAGCTTAAGATGGCCATTACACTAATGTGAAACTGTTTAAGTCACAGAAAACTCAGGAAGTTCGGAGAGCATTACCCTAAGAAAGCCAATCTTCATTATACCTGTGGCCTGCAATTCAAAAACGCTTGATTTGGGGCTGGAGAGATGGCTCAGTGGTTAAGAGCACTGACTGTTCTTCCAGAGGTCCTGAGTTCAACTCCCAGCAACCACATGGTGGCTCTCAACCATCTCTGGCGCTTATAATAAATAGCTAAATCTGTTTAAAAAAAACAAAAAAACAAAAACAAAAACAAAAAACGCTTGATTTATTTGCAGCCTCTGTTCCTACTTCCTTAAACTTTCCCTTTTAAGAGCCCTCACTGGCCCCCCAGGATTAAGGTGGACTTTGGACAAGAGCCCTTCATCTTTGCATTAAGCTGTTAGAATAAAAAGTCATCATCCTGACTAGGGATGGTGGCACATGTCTGTATTCCCAACACTCTGTAAATTCAGCCCTGAGGAGGCTGAGATGAAAGGATCATGAGTTCAAAGCCAGCCTGGGCCACACAGTAAGTTGCCGTCTCAAAACAGAGCAAGTGCCTGGCCATTAATTCCAGCACTCAGGTGGCAGAAGCAGGCAGAGTTCAAGGTCAGCTTGGTCTAGATAGCAAGTTCCAGGCCAGCCTGGGCTATACAACGAGATCCTGTCTCAAAAGACAAAACAACCCAAAAATATTGCCGCCTTTACTTTGACGCCTTGTCTCTCAACTGAACTGGCTTGTTCTGCAGGAAGCAGTCTCGCATATTTCTATCCCGTTCCCAACCTAGTCTTCAGCCTTCCCTTTGATACTGTGAGTTTCACTTGCTTTACTACATTCCCTTTCCACCTACATCAGACTGTAGCCTATCTGTCTCACAAAAAAACTGAACCAAGGGCAGGAAAGGTATTGCTGCAAGGCCTGATGATCTCTGTTCAATTCCTGGAACCCACAGGGTGAAAAGAGAAAAGTAAGTTTGCTGTGGGATGTTCTGTATGGCAAATGTGTTGCTAATTAGTCAATAAATAAAACACTGATTGGCCATTGGCTAGGCAGGAAGTATAGGCGGGACAAGGAGGAGAATAAAGCTGGGAAGTGGAAGGCTGAGTCAGAGAGACACTGCCAGCCGCCACGATGAGAAACAGCAGGTAAAGATGCCGGTAAGCCACGAGCCATATGGAAATGGATTAATTTAAGCTGTAAGAACAGTTAGCAAGAAGCCTGCCACGGCCATACAGTTTGTAACCAATATAAGTCTCTGTGTTTACTTGGTCGGGTTTGAGCAGCTGTGGGACTGGCAGGTGATAGAGATTTGTCCTGACTGGGGGCCAGGCAGGAAAACTCTAGCTACAAATGGCGTCCAACGTGGTGGCAAGAGTTTCCACCTAAAACCTGAGAAAAAAGATTCTAAAACGGATCTAAAAACAGTTCCTAATTGTCTCTCTCAAATGAGCGGCAGCTACCAGTTTGAGCTACTTGTGGGTTCCTAGCGTGTGCGCTCGACCTGCAGTATGGCGTGAATAAGACCTCTTCAAGTGGCACATTAAGCTGCATGGTGGATTTAGACTTTGCTAGTACAAAACAACAAAAAAAGAGGTTTCTGGACTACACGCTGCTTGGCTAAAAGCATAGACCCACGATAGCTCCCAGAGCTGGTGGAAAAGGTAACACCATGTTGGGAAGCTGAGGTGGGCAGAGCCAGCAGCCATAGCTGCTGCAGTTTAAGGCAATAGATTCACAATAAGACAGATTCAGATGTAATAGTTTACAATGTGTGTAAAAGATACATAGGCTTGAAAGAGACAAAAAAGGTGATATATAGAGTTATAGAAACAAATACATAGTTTTAAAAAATAAAGTCTTTAAAGAGACAGTAAAGGTAGTATAAAAAATAAGCCACATAAAAATGGATATTACACGGAGAATCTGGATTGTGTTGTCTTTGGGATTTTTAACTGCAGAAAAACATTTGATCATAAAAGATGTTGAGTTAGCCGGGCGGTGGTGGCGCACGCCTTTAATCCCAGCACTCGGGAGGCAGAGCCAGGCGGATCTCTGTGAGTTCGAGGCCAGCCTGGGCTACCAAGTGAGTCCCAGGAAAGGCGCAAAGCTACACAGAGAAACCCTATCTCGAAAAACCAAAAAAAAAAAAAAAAAAAAAAAAAAAAGATGTTGAGTTAAACCAATGTGTATATTTTAAAGATACCATGACTTCAAAATTTGGATATAAGGATATGTTGCTTTGGAAAGGAGACTCTGCTTTTGTTCCCACAGAAAGCCAAAGGCTATGGATTTGTTCCAGATTAAGATACATCAGGTTTGACCAGCCAAGACCCCCTGAAAGGTCTCCGATGACACCATGGCCCAGATGATCCAACATCCAGAACGATTTGAAGGCAACTGGCTCAGACAATACACCCTCATGGACGATTCCATAATTCTAAAATTTTCTTTGTATCCCCATAAGATACAGCGCCCCCCTCCAGCAGGAAGTAGTAAGAGAAGCTACGCCCAAATTCCCAAATTATATGTAATTTTACTTTAAGGTTAAAACCTTCCTTTTTGAAAAAAAAAAATGGGGGAAGTGCTGTGGGATGTTCTGTATGGCAAATGTGTTGCTAATTAAGTTGTCCTCTGACCTCAATACACATTCACATATATGCTCACTTACACATGCATACAAAATAAATAAATAAATGTAAAAAAATTTTAAAGAAACAACAAATTAAATAAATTTTGCACATTCTGGAAATTTTTGAACATTGTTTAGGTTTGGTATCTAATATATAAATAAAAATGATGAAAACAGGGCCTGACTTAGTGGCACATGCCTTTAATCCCAGCACTCAGGAGGTAGAGGCAGGCAGATCTCTGTGAGTTCAAAGCTAGCCTGATCTAAGGACAGCCAGGACTACACAGAAAGATCCTGTCTCAAAAGATTGCTAAGATACTATTTCAGACTCAAATAGGCTTGTTATCCGATCATCATGAAATGCAGCTTACCACATGGCATACCTGTGGCCCAGTAGTAAATATCCCAGTCATTGCTAGGCTCGTTAATTAGGCGATCATAGAGGTTCAGCTGCTTCTCTGTCATGTTGTGCAGATATTCTTTAGCAAAGAGGCTAAAAAGGAAAAGGAAAATGAGGTTGACAAGACTGCCCTGTCAAAGAGAAGTGACACCCAGAGCCCTCTTCCCGACTACCTAAGGAGAATACAGTTCTCCAGCATCCCCCTCTTCCTGCTCTCATAGAGTAGGCGGGCTCTTTTGGTTTCTATGGATTCATCAGTTCTCTCCTGCCATGGAGGCAAAGGAATTTCAATCATGTCTTTTTGAGAATCTATTGGGCTGTCACCTCTGTAGAATCGTCTGAATGATGTCACGCTGAACAAAGGAGACAGCAGGCTGTGTTTTGACAGTACCTGAAACAAACAAACCACAAACATCTTTATAAGACAATGGTTACTATCACTGCTATTTATTCAACACATAAGGTGCTAAATGCATTAGAGCTCACTTAGTCCTTGTGCTGATTCTGGTCCCTTTATAGTAAAGCAAACAGAAACCAATGAATCTAAGACTTAGAGGCGATAGTCACTGAAATAGAACCACAGATACATGTTTATAAATTGGGCAACACCTCACTCTACAAGACAGAATGAATATTCCAGATGTACTGTTAACCAGTCTTTCCAGAAATTACCCCAGCAGAAACACGTCTCCTTTTGCATTTCTTTAAAACTGTACATCCTGTTGTGTTCCAGTTACTCACCGGTTAAAGCCAAGGATACCCAGGTCTCCTAAAGACTCCAAACCTAAGAAGGGCATAAACCCTAAGACATAATGAGAAGGGCTGGATGATGGCTCACTAAGTAAGTGACTGCTGTGCAAGCATGGGGACCTGAGTGCAGAGCCACATAAGAGCCAAGTGTGGCCAGGAATGGCATCCTGCATCTGTAACCCCAGCACAGGTGGATCCTAGAAGTTCACTGGTCAGGGAGTCCAGCTAAAACAGAGAGATTCTGTCTCTGGAAATAAAGTGAAAATAGAGGAAGACACCTGAAGTTGACTTCTGGTCTCCACACACAAGGATAGGCAAGCACTTCCCTTCCTCCCCTTCCCCCTCTCACATACAAACATATATCACACACATACACAAATTTTAAAAAGACACAATGGTAAGGTGGTAATGTTAGCAAGATGGCAGAACAGGAAGACCCACATCCTCCTTGCCACCAAACCCTTCCAATGGAGATACTGACTCAACAATTCACAGATCTATTCTCTCTGTGAGAAGTCTGGAAAACAGGCTCCTGCTCCCCAGATAAGTACAAAATTAGCTGCCAATAGGAAGGCTGCACATGCCATAATCCTGTTTTCCCCAACACTCTAACCCACCACCCAAGCACAAGATGATGGGGAAAATATCCCAGCACCAGGCTTCTACCTAGGAAAGAAAGGTAAGACTTCTAGAAGGTCATCTGAACAAGCTGAATCTAAGTGCTATAGGAAAAGGCACTTGGTTGAAAGCTGTAGCAAACGAAGGTGATGGTTAACACAAAAAGCATTCACTTGCCATGGTTCCCATTCCTGCCTTACTGCAGAATGAAAAAAAAGATCACAACTCCCAATTTTTCCTGGGGAAACAGAGCTGGGGTGTCCACCTAATGCTCCAGCGTCTCAGGGGCCGCCTATGAGGCTGGTTTTTGTCTCTCTTGCCTCAGAGCAACAATAGGACACAACCCATTCCTGACACTTAGGGACCACAGAGACCAAGAAAGCTGAGCTGCTTACTTTTGGTGCAGAGGAAACCTTAGATAGCAGACAAACTCTAGTATCGTTCGGGAGCCTCTTCCCCAGGGCTCAGGAATGTATGGTCAATGTTCTGGAACATGGGCATTGGCATTGCCTAAGGGACTTGGTTGGTTTCTATTTTGAACAACCTGCAACACTAATAGAGTCAACATACTCTTAGAAGTCCAGCAGCCACTGAGAATAAGAGAGCAGAACAATAGCCGGGCGGTGGTGGCGCACGCCTTTAATCCCAGCACTCGGGAGGCAGAGGCAGGCGGATCTCTGTGAGTTCGAGGCCAGCCTGGGCTATCAAGTGAGTTCCAGGAAAAGGCGCAAAGCTACACAGAGAAACCCTGTCTCGAAAAAAACCAAAAAAAAAAAAAAAAAAAAAAAGAGAGAGAGAGCAGAACAACTAGTTAGGCGTGGTGCTTCATGCCTGTAATCCCAGCATTTGAGAGGCTAGAGCAGGGCTACTATGAAACCGAAGGGCTCCAATACCAGACAAAACAGAGGGAGCAAAGGAAAGAGGAAGGGGACTCTGAACAACTTTAATAGTTACAAAGAAACTAGAGCATCACAGACACTAGGGAAAGCTACTGATTATGAACTGATAGAGGAAGGTAAAGGTGCTTGTTGCCAAGCCTAAGGACCTGAGTTCTATTCCCAGAACACATGCACACAGAAGAAAGACATACAGAGAGGCAGAGACAGACAGGCGTATACCATCTTTAAAAAAAAAAAAAAATGACTGAAACTTCCAAAATTTGGAAAAAGAAACAGACATTCAGATTTGAGAAGCTCAAGAGACCTCAAGTATCATGACCCTAAGGAAGTCCACACCAAGGCACAAATTGTCCAGTAAGTCAGAAATGTGCATGTATAAAGAAAGACCATGTGAGGGCACAATGGAAAAGTGGCTATCTGCAAGTCGTGGAGTGAGACCACAAGAGAGAATTAACTGTACTACCATCTTTATCCGAGATCTCAGTCTCCAGAACTTTAAAAATAGAAATTTTTGTTGTAAGGCACCTTTAGTAAATGAATACAGCATGCTGTGAAAGTTCAGTTTCCTAAGCCACAGCCTAAGCATTCTGGACCAGCATCTCTGGAAAAGGCACTTGAAAATGCATTTTAGGGGCTGGAGAGATGGCTCAATGGTTAAGAGGACTGGCTGCTCTTTCAGAGGTCCTGAGTTTAATTCCAAGCAACCACATGGTGGCTCACAACCATCGATAGCGGGATCTGATGCCCTTTTCTGGCATAAAGTTGTACATCCATATAGAGCACTCATACGTAAGTTAAAAAGAAAAAAAAGAAAATGCATTAAAAAAATCCTTATGTGTGCAAACATGGGTGCACATGTAGAGGTTAGAGGAACAGCTCAGGTGTCATTCTTCGCCTTCCACCTTGTTTTGCAACAGTTTCTTTGTTGTTCTCTACTGTGTATGTCAGCCGAGCTGGCCTGTGAACTTCCAGGGATTCTCTTGTCTCTACCTCCCATCTCATCATAGCATCACACTAGGCTGGCCTTGAACTTGCTAAAGAACCAAGGATGACCTTAAACTTCTCATTCTCCTGCCACCAACTTCAGAGTGCTAAAATTATAGGCATATGCTGCTACTACTACACTCTGTTGTATGTGACACTAGGGATCAAATTCAGGGCTTTCATGCATGATAGGTGTTGTGTAGCAATTTCCTTCAATTTTGGAGAGAAGCTCATTATGACACAGGATCTTCTTCTTCTTCTTCTTCTTATTATTATTATTATTATTACTATTATTCACTATGTAGCCCTAGTTGTTATTATTATTATTATTACTATTATTCACTATGTAGCCCTAGCTGACCTGAACTTGACATCTAGGTCAGGCTGGTCTTGAACTCAGAGACCCTCCAGCCTCTGCCTTATGCTACTACACCTAGCCAAGACACAGAATGTTTTTTTTTTTTTTTTTTTGGTTTTTCGAGACAGGGTTTCTCTGTGTAGCTTTGCGCCTTTCCTGGATCTCGCTCTGTAGACCAGGCTGGCCTCGAACTCACAGAGATCCGCCTGCCTCGGCCTCCCGAGTGCTGGGATTAAAGGCGTGCGCCACCACCGCCCGGCCCAAGACACAGAATGTTTTAAAGGAAGGTAATATATCCCATCCTACAGGGATGCTCCTTAATATCCGGAAGTAAACAACTCAAAGGCTTCAGGGAGTCTCTGAAATTAACCAGATATGCAAGGCCACTTGCTCTGCACATATAATTTCAGCTCCAGGGGATCCAACACCCTCTGCAGCTTTAGTGGGTGTTCAGTGGGTAGCTATACTCACAAGTGTGTGTGAGTACACACACACACACACACACCAATTTCCAATTTAAAAAAAAGTATACTCTATGGCATCAATATCCTGTACATAAGGAGTAGAAGAGAAGTTCTTGTATGCAGTTAAAATTATCAATTTAAGATAGACTTAGAAATATTCTATGTAAGCCTCACCATACCACAAGGAAAATTCCTGTAGAAGAGATGCAAAAGAAAATGAGATTGCTGGGGCTAGAGAGACAGCTCAGCAGTTAAGAGCATTTACTGCTCTTACATAGGACTGGGGTTCAGTTCCCAACACACTCAGTAGATGGCTTATACCCATCTATAACTCCAATTTCAGAAAATCCAACACCCTCTTCTGGCCTTCATGGGCACCTACACACATAGTAGACATACACTCATGAAAGCACATACACATATGTACATATTTTTTAATCTAAAAAAGGAAAGAAAAAAAAGAGAGAAAAGAAAATGAGATTCCCTAAGCGCTGGGTTTGGGGCTTAGCTCACAAAAACAACAACAACAACAACTGTCGCATGAGATAACAAACATATAGTATTAAGAAGAGTTAACAGAAAGGTATAACAATCATAACTATATGTGGATCTAACATTAGAGAACACAAATCTATGAAACAGACACTGACAGAACTGAAAGGAGAGAGAAAAAAAAAAAGCAGCAGATTTTAATACCACACTTTCAATAAGGGACAGGACATCCAGACGAGGCAGGGCTTGGTTGGGGGGGTTTCAATATTTGACAACTAGAACAACACAATAAGTTTATCTAACTGAGATATACAGACATTCCATACAATAGACCGACCATACATTCCTCTCGAATGCATGGATGAACACAAGTTATGTCACAAGTCTTGACAAATCACAACTACCTTTCAACAACACTGAAATAAAACCGCAAACCAACAGCATATGAAAACCGGAAAATTCACAGACATGCAGATGCTTAAACCACAGATTTGAACAACCAAAATGTTAAGAGTAGTGAAAAACGCTTTTTAAAAAAATCTCAAGACAGATTAAAGCCTAACAAAAAAGTGGAGATGGGACCAAAATAGCACCAAGATGTAAATTTATAGCGGCAAATGGCTACGATTAAAAAAAAAAAAAAAAAAAGGGTAAGCTAAGTGTGTTGGTTCAAGCCTATAATCCCAGTAGTTGGGAAGATGAGGCAGGAGAATTGCGAATTAGAGGTCAGCCTGGGCAAACACATTAAGACCGGCTAAAAAGCGGGGAGAAGGAACTGAAGACTTTAAGAACAGGAGCTAGAAGTGGGCTTTTGGAGGAGGTTAGGTAACTGTGCCTGGCGACTTAAGTAAGATCTGAGTTGTCTCGCACGATGACTGCCGACTTAACCACATATTACCGAGTATTCTCACTCGAGCACACCGTGGGTTCAGCAAAGAACGGAAAAAGAGCTTCTTTCCCTGGACTGTGGGATAGTTGAACTCTCCCTACAGTCTCCTTGACACAGACGAGAACAAAACAGTCCTAGCTGCTGCCCGCCCCGAACCCTAAATCTTCGGCTCTCTCACCCGCGCCAGCGTCGGGATCAAGGTGACCACCGCCATTTCTCCCTACAGCACCGGAAGCTGGCAACCGGGCTACTTCCGGGAACTCCAGGCGGTCTATCCGTGGACCTCACCAGTGGAGGTGGACCTCAAGCCGGAAGGCGCGTCCCAGCGTATGGCGGAAGTAGCGGTGCGTCTGACGCCGCCGGCGGGGGGGGCGGGACCTGGGGCGGAGAGCGGTTCGCGCGCTTCGGGCCTAGTCGGGACTCTCCGCGGCCGCCGCCATATTCCCGGTAACGGGGGCGCGCGGCCGGGGGCCGGCGGGGCCGGAAGGAGGGCCGGGGCTGGCGCCGCGGCGGGGAGGGGGTCGGTTGAGGTGGCGGCGGTGGCGGAAGACGGCGGGTGGAGGGAAGCGCGGGCCTCTGAGGGAGGGGCTGAGGTCCTGGAGTGGAGCTGTGGGAGGGAGCAAGGGTAGGCCTAGCCGAGGGCGAGGACCGGGCCCGGTTGGAGTGGAGGCGGCCGTAGCTTCCGGGCCCGCGGGGGGACTCCAGCTTGGGCCGCCCCCTGGGTCTAGCAGGTGCGGCGGGCTGAGCTTGCGGCTTTCGCTGCGATGGTTCTTCACAGCGCAGCCCTTGGGCCCTCTCGAGAGTCGAGGCCTGGACTTGGCGGTGGCGCCACAGGCAGCTACGGGCGCCGACTCGGCGCAACTCGAGTCGGGCCCGCGGGTGATGGGCAGCGAGCCCCGCGAGCCCGGGCGGCCTGGGAGAGCTGGGGGCGGCGCGAGGCTGGGGGCGGGGCGGAGCGGGTGGGGCCAGGCTCTGGCTGCCGGGAGACCATTGCCCTCCTCCCAGCCTGGGACCCTCGTCCCTTAAAATTGTTTACCCTTTTCTGAATACCGTAGTGGCATCTTTCTTACTTTGTCCGTTCTCCGGGCTCGAGAGCGTATTTCCGGAGCCATGTCAGAAGGAGTGGACTTGATTGATATTTACGCTGATGAAGAGTTCAACCAGGTGAGAGGAATCATAAGCAGCTTTGGGTTCATCAGTCTACTGACAGTGGTTTCTTTCTCAGCTCAAAATAATTCCCCTTAATGTCGAAGCGTTTCCCCCTAGCGGAGGCTTTGAAGACGACTGACCATTCCTCTATGTTAATTTGAACCTCCAGGCTTCAATTTTAAAGGGTTTGCTTTAAGAGCAAATAAAAAGCCAAGTGTAATAGAATAGTGAATCAGCCTGTGGAATTCGTTTCCCCAAGTCATTCCAAAGTTGGATGACTAACCGTAATTAAAAATCAAAATTACATTTGTTGCAGTATTGTGAGGATAATTTTGATACTTGTTACTTTGCTGTTCTCTCAGAGTGCAGCTCCAGGCTCCAGAATGTTAGTCCCTCCTGCTAGTCCCCTCCCAATGGTGCAGACAGTATAAGAGATAACTTCGAAAGACACAGTATACTAGGTACTTTAAAGATGGGGGTCCAGCTCCACTCCAGGTGTCTTTAGTCTTTTTAAATAGTCTAGTCCTTTTAAACTGTGGTCTTGAGAAGCCTGTGGGCATTTTGGTATACGTTTTACTTATAAAACTTAAGATTTCTGGAAGGTGGAAGGGAAGTAAAGACCATTGAATAAACTAGTTTAAAGGCAAGTCAAAGGCTAGGTTGAATTTGTTCCTGTCTTTGCATTTTTATTACGATACCAGGGAATTTATACAAATGTCCCTTGAAATAGTAATCTATGCAGTTGAGTTCTGTGATCTTGAAGTCAAAGCTCAATGGAAACTTTCTATTTAAAACTTTAATTGTCTAACCTGGGTTCTTCAACACCATTGTCCTTGAGCAAGCTGGTTCTTGTCATTAGTGTATTCCAATGGCGTAAAGACCTGGGGAGAATGGGCCAGAGAAGTAGAATGCCTGGGTTGGACCCTGACTTTGATAGGAAGCAACAAAAGAGGCTCATCTGCCCCGTTATTTTATTTTCAATTTTGTGTATGTGTGTGGTTACATGCATGTGAGTGCAGGTGCCCAAGGAGCCCAGCAGTATGAGGTCCCCCTGGAGCTGGTGCTACAGGTGGTTGTGAGCTGCCTGATGTGAGTGCTAGCAACCAAACTCAGCTTCTCTGGACAAAGTGCTCTTAACTATGGAGCCCTCTCCAGTCTTGCTTTCCTGAGTTTTACGTGTTTGTTTGAATCAGACTTTCACCATTTGAAATTTATAGCTTTGTCATTAATTAACAAGACTTTCTTAGTTCTGTATTACTAAAAGATAGTATCCCACATACACACTCCAATTCCAAATCTGTGTATTGTTGACTGCTACTGCAACTCACTTATTTTAAAGAATAGATGGCAGAATCCTTGACCGTGGGCCATATTTGATCTTAAAAAAAAAAATTAATAATTGCTTAAGCAATGTGACTTGGGGGGGGGTCATAGACAAGACATAGTTCTTGTCCAATGGTCAACTTCTTTGTCAAGGTAGACATTATTAACATCGGGAATTTGTTCCTTAGTTAGCTTTTTTTTTTTTTTTTTTTTAAAGGACTTATTGGTCTAAAACCAAAATTAGTGTGTGGACTACTTAGACATATATACCAAACAGGCAATGTTTGATAAGGGAAAATTGAAACAAGTGTAGACTTTGAAAGTAGAGCAGGGGAACCCCATCCCCATAAGTTAATTTTTGGCCAAGCTGGTTTTAGTGTAATCTGGAAGCTGCTAAATGGTTTAAAAGTCTAAGAGTTGTTAAAAGTTGGCTTAGATGGAAAGCAGTCAGTATTAATTGGGTTGTTGAATATCTTGAGACAGTTACTGACTTGCCCCAAGCTAGCCCTGCATACAACTTCCTCAAGAGCACTTTGCTCCCAAAGGGAAATTAGCACAGTTACCACATGGAACCCTGTATTTGCTTCTGATCTCTGGCAGCCTGTACTGCAAAACCTTTTGCAGAGATACATTATTGATGTTGCATTGGGAGCCCTGGGACTCACACTGCTCTGCTGGACAGGGGAAACCTAAAACGGTGACTGAGAATTGCCACTCTGCTAAGTTTTCTGTTTGTTCCTTCTCATGCTGAGATGGGCTTGATAGTATGCTTGGTTCTTTATCAAGGATTTGAACTACTACTGTCTGCTGAGCACTGCCAGAGCTAGTGAGTTGTTGGGAGTGTAAGTAAATCCCTGTGCTCAAAAATTGGTGCCATTCCTAGTGGCTAAAAGTAGTAGTGATATTAGTTGGGTGTGGTGATACATGTGTATAATCCCAGTGCTCTAAAGACTGAGGCAGTATTGCTACAAATTGGAGGCCCGCTTGGCTAGGATGTGAAACTGTTAGAATCCCTCCCTTGCCCCAACAACAACAAAAGTTGTAAAATAACAAAATGGATAGTAACAATGCAGAGTAATGGGCAACAGTGATGGGGAGAGGTGTGAGGAGAACTGTGAAGATTGAGTGTGAGACCCCAATTGATGTGCCCTTCTAAAAATGGAAGAAAAGGTAACCAATAGTCAAGACGGTTGCCCTGAGAAAAATATACCCAAGTTAGTCAATTCATTGGGTTGGTACCAAGAATGGGCTAGAAGGTAGGAACATTGAGCATATTAGAGGGCAAAATCAAATTCCTAATAGGAAGTTTCATGATATAACTAGCCGTGTGTGTGTGTGTGTGTGTGTGTGTGTGTGTGTGTGTGTGTGTGTGTAACACAAAATCTTGCTGAGATACTTATTCAGTGTTGAATGCATATTTCCAATTTAAACTTCTTACAATAAAAATTTTAGCACTGCCACCTATAAAATGTAGGTATATGTTTTTTTACTTCTTTGTTAGGATAAGTGGGGTTTTTTTATTGGTTTTTTTCAAGACAGGGTTTTCTGTAACCCAGGCTGTCCTGGAACTCACTGTAGACTAGGCTGGCCTCCAACTGTCTCTGCCTCCTGAAAGATGAAGTCATGTGCCACCATGCCCAGCTATTGCTAGCTTTTTTTTTTTTTTTAAACTGGGGTTCCATGGCTCAGATAGACCATAGAAACTTGGAACATTCAAATTCATTGGATTTTCTTTCTGAAGTGGTAATCTACAGAAACAAGGTCCTCCAGGATTGAGATTTTTGAAAGAGTCCATTGATTGCCTTTAAGCTAACAGTATGAAAAGGTTTCCACTGATGTGTTTGCTCTCCAAGTTGAAATCTTCCTATTGGCTCACTTTTTTTTTTTTTTTTTTAAATCTAGTTTTAATCCAGTTTTTGGTGATGATGTCTGTCTTACAACTTTTAGATACATCTCACAATCACAGATACTGCATAAAAGGAATCCTAGTTTTCTGGCATTGAATATATAAAATACTGTTATTATTGTCTTTTAAGTTTCATTTGAAAATCTTTTTTTTTCCCCCCCTTTAAAAAGCCTTCATGGGAGGTATAAAGTCTAGTTGTCCTTAATATCCTTGGGGGATTGGTCTCAGAATCTTTCTCTTTAACAAAATATTCAGGTACTTAAATCTTAAAAAAAAAAAACTTATGAGCCTGTACTGAGGAGGCTGAGGCAAAAAGGGATCGCAAGTTCAAGACCAGTCTTAATAACTTAGCCAGGGGCTGGAGAGATGGCTCAGAGGTTAAGAGCACTGACTGTTCTTCCAGAGGTCCTGAGTTTAATTCCCAGCAACCACATGGTGGCTCACAACCATCTGTAATGAGATCTGGTGCCCTCTTCTGGCCTGCAGACATACATGCTGTATACATAATAAATAAATAAATCTTTTTTAAAAAAAAATAACTTAGCCAGACCCTGTTTCAAAATTTAAAAAAGAAAAAAATCAAAGATATAGTTCAGTGGTAGAGACCTCACCTAGCATGCTCAGAACCACTTGGATAAGGTATTTTTGCATATACAATCTTTATGCATTCCTTCTCCATGCTGTAAAAATGTCTCTAGATGATAATGATTATTTCAACTTTGCTAAGGGTTGAATACAGGCCTTGCCTTTTGTAGTTTTTTTTTTTTTTTCATTTATTTTTTATGCATATGAGTGTTTTGCCTGCATGGATGTATATGCACCATGCATGTGCATTGCCTTCAGAGGCCAGGGAGGGCATCTGATCCCCTGGGACTGGAGTTGTGAGCTGCCAGTGGGTGCTGGGAATCAAACCCAGGTTCTCTGGAAGAGTGGCCATTGTTCTTAACGTCTGAGCTATCTCTTCTGCCCCCATCTTAAAAAGCTTTTTAAAGGATGTTTTCAGCTGATATTTAGCTGGATGGGAAACTGACAGATACGGAAAGCTAGGTATAGTGGTTTCTGAGGATTAGAGCATTGAGCAGGATGGAGTCATCAAGTCTTTTTTGGGAGGAGGGAATTTGTTTGTTTGGGATTTTGGTGATTTACTTATTTTTACATTTGTTTGTATATGGCAAGTGTGTTGAGATCAGAGGACAAGACTTTTCTTCTACCATATGGGTCCTGGTAATTGAACTCATGAGCCACTGAATCATCTCATTGGTGTTGGTGGTTTTTTCAAGATGGTCTGATGCAGCCCATGCTGTTCTCAAACTCTGTGTGAAGCCAGTTGTGAACTGCTGATGATCTGCTACTACCTCCCAAATGCTGGGACTACGGGCCAATGTGCCATTATGCCCAGTTTTAAGTCCTTTTGTACCTCAAACTACCTGATATATGGCACATAAGTACTAGGAATTGAGCCCAGGGCCTTCTGTGTGCAAGGCAAGCACTCTACTACAACTGAGCTATATCCCCAGTCCTCTACTCTTTTTTTTTTTTTTAAATGTTTCTTAGATGGTTATTAGAAAGCTGAGATTGTATTCTAAGAGCTTAAAAGTTTCCCTGGATCAGTTGTATAAACCAAAGGGTAATTCAATGTTTTGTTCGCATTTTGTTGCTTACTCACTTTCACATTCTTTCTCCCTACTTTATATTTCTAAATAAATGTACTCTTATTAAAAACAATACTAGTATATAACCTGATATTGAAAATACATTTTATGAATATATTTTAGATGTGGTCTTTGAATCTGACATCATTGATGACAGCAGCACATGTATCTAATTATTTATTAGTGGTTTGTTTGCTTATTCACCATTTGCCTTTCGATCCTCACAGGAGGCTAACAGAAACTTGCACACCATGAATAGTCTTGGAAATCTCATAAGCACTACTAAGAATTTCAAATCAGGAATTCTTTCTTACCCTGTTTCCTAGAGTGGGACAGGGTGGCTTTGTGCATTGCTTTACAAAGCATTTAACTATAGGTTCTAAGTCAGCTAGAATGAAGCAGAAGAAACAAACTGAAAAGTTTGAAGACTCCATTGTCAATTTCTCATCTTTTAGGACTCGGAGTTCAACAATACAGATCAGATTGACCTGTATGATGATGTGTTGACGGCTACCTCACAGCCTTCAGATGATAGAAGCAGTAGCACTGAACCACCCCCTCCTGTCCGCCAGGAGCCGTCTCCCAAACCAAACAACAAGACCCCTGCAATCTTGTATACGTATAGTGGCCTACGGAGTAGACGAGCAGCTGTCTATGTAGGCAGCTTCTCCTGGGTAAGCACGGATAACCAAGTCTTATGGGTAGGCTGGAGGGAGAGCACTGGGAGGTGATGGCATTTTCAGAAACCACTGTTGCACTGTTTTGTGCTCTGATGGGGTTGGATTTCTTTTTCCTGGGATCAGGTTGGATTGATCTCTGAAAGAGAACTATCCTGAGGACGTACTGGTGCCGAAGAAAGCATTGATTAAGTGGGTAGTTGCCTTTTCTGCCATCTTATTACTGCCCCTGACCCTGGGGCTTTATGTCTAGCAGGGTCATCTATGGGACGAGATTTCAGAGTGAACACCTTGAACTCTTGGTGGTCATTAGATGGTCCTGTGATAATGGTGGGTGATGGGGATCAAAGACCTTGATAGCTCTAGTGTATTGGGATATGTGTTGGCTATTCTGTAAAAGTTAACTGTGTGACATGTTTTTGGGTTGGTGGTGGGGGGTGCCAAATCAGGAGATGTATATACTGATGGGAAAGTTCCTGGCATGGTCAACTCTAGCCTGTCACATCTATAGTTAAAGTTACTAGCAATCTGTTTGATCTAATGATCAACCAGCCCACATGTCAGTCAAAATTAAATTTCAATCTTAAATCTCCAAACAGAGGAGCTGTGGGCTTAGATGGGTTTAGAGTTCAGGACAATGGGAAAAGCCTGCACTGATTGAAATAATGCTGGACTTTGGGGGTTTCCTGTGGGCGGTCATGGTTGTGGCAGGCGTCCTAGATTTGGGAACAGGACTTGGGACATTTGGGTGGGTGGGTATCAGGCATGTAGTTCTTGACATTTCTCCCTTTTCCATCTTGCCGGCCCCAGTGGACTACAGACCAGCAGCTGATCCAGGTTATTCGCTCTATAGGAGTCTATGATGTGGTGGAGTTAAAATTTGCAGAGAACCGAGCAAATGGCCAGTCTAAAGGGTGAGGTCTGGATTTGGGGAGCCCCCTTTAGTTTGTGATTGTTAGGGTAACGGATCTGTTATATATTTGAACTTGGATTCCAACCCCCTTCCACCCCAGCCTAGCTTACTACTTTGGTTTTGACAAACTGCCTTAGTAGATTGAGGACCTAGCTAGATTGAAGTTGAACATCCGTCTGTTGAAGGGAAGAATGTTAATTTTAAATTCCAAAAAGTAAGGAAAAACAGGAAGTATATAGAGTGGCACCTTCTTACTGCTGGTGTGTGTGTGTATGTATGTGTGTGTGTGTGTGTGTGTGTATAAATATTTAATTTAGCAAGATGTCTTTTCCTTTGTCAAATAGAATTTTTGTTCCTTTTCTAGTGTCTAAAAAATTTTCTCCTTTTTACTTGGTTCCTCCAGGTATGCTGAGGTGGTGGTAGCCTCTGAAAATTCTGTCCACAAATTGCTGGAACTCTTGCCAGGAAAAGTTCTTAATGGAGAAAAAGTGGATGTGAGGCCGGCCACCCGGCAGAACTTATCACAGTTTGAGGCGCAGGCTCGGAAACGTGAGTGCGTCCGAGTCCCAAGAGGGGGTACGTGGAGACCATCTGTATGATGGGGGGAGGTTGTGGGCTTGTTGGTATGGTGTGGGCTCAGACTAATGTGGAGTATTTAGGAGAAGGGTACTGTTTGGGTATGGCTTGTTAGTACAATAAGTGGATAGGCCTAAGAGATTGTGTAATAGCACAGTCCTGGGAATCAGGTTCAGCTTGTCAGTGGGTTCTGCCTTTGACTTTTTTTTTTTTTTTTGGTTTTTCGAGACAGGGTTTCTCTGTATAGCTTTGCGCCTTTCCTGGGACTCACTTGGTAGCCCAGGCTGGCCTCGAACTCACAGAGATCCGCCTGGCTCTGCCTCCCGAGTGCTGGGATTAAAGGCGTGCGCCACCACCGCCCGGCTTTGCCTTTGACCTTTTTAACCTTTTGAACGAGTCAGTTCACTGCTTAGGACCTCTTTCCCATCGGAACTGAAAAGTGATTGAAGTTCTTGTCAACTGTCAATTCTATTTCTTCCATAAATGGACACACCATGAATTTGCTTGCTTTTTAAGTAAGACTTGGTTCTCTTGAGTTTTTAAAAAGCAGACACCCTAGAGTGTAATTAAGATAAGTGATCTCATCATGAGTATATATATGGAGTGCTCTGTAAGAATCAACCAAAAGAAGTGTTAGGTAATAAAAATAAAGCATTATTTTTCCATTGTTATCTTAGAGAAAGGAAACAGTTATTGAATATGTAGTTGGTTTGGCAAGTATATCACATAGGTTTTTTAGAAAATGGAGCCTGGCAGTGGTGGTGCACGCCTTTAATCTCAGCACTTGGTAGGTAGAGGCCAGCCTGCTCTACAGAGCGAATTCTAGGACAGCCAAGGCTACACAGAGAAACCCTGTCTGGGGGGTGGGGGTATATCGGACCAGAGAGATGCCTCACAGCAGTTAAGAGACTGGCTGCTCTTCCAGAGGACCCAGCTTCAATTCCCAGTACCCACATTGAAACCCACAACTGTCTCTAACTCCAGTTCCAAGGAATCCAGTGCCCTCTTCTGACTTTAGTGGGCCCTGCATATGTGCGGTACACAGACATACATGCAGGCAATTTACCCATACACATAATAAAATTTTAACAATTTTTTAAAAGTGCAACATTCTATGTTAGTTTGATGCTTTAAGTTCATCTTACTCCCTTTAATCTGACTTTGTTCACCAAACCACTTTCTGATGCTACCTTACTTTCCTAATGAGGCTTTCCTCCTGGGAAGAGAATGCATTGACCAGCCTACAAGTATTCCAGTCTGCTTGGCAGTAAATAATTGTTAGTATCAACTAATAAATTACTACTTTGGTTTGTGTATCAATTTCTTATGAGTTTGGTTGGCACAATTCACTCTCCTGGGGTCTGATTACTCCCTGGTAAATTACGGAAATCAGATTTCTAAACCTGAGGACCAATCTTGGCTTACCCTGACCTCACAAGGTACAGCTACCCTGTAAGGCCCTGCCTGAAATAGTCAGCTTCCTTTTCTTTCACTACTCAGGGATAGGTAGTGGCAGCAACATTTCACCACATACCTGCTGTCACTACTCTAAATACCAAGCTCTAAAACAGTAGTTCCTTGTATTAATGGGGTATGTCCTTCATGTGGAAATAGAGCCTCTTTAGTAGAAACAGTTGTCTTTGTCCTTTGTATTGACAGCTAGGTGGATGAGGTGTGAGCTCCAATTGCCCTGGCTTAAAGGCACACACTTAGCTTCCTTGACAACTCACATTTTCAAGTCCCTTCTTTTTCAGAGTCTTTGTATAATTCGACCCTCCCATAAGATGCAGCTCTTTATAGCTGTATTGAGAATAGTATTTCTACCTCTTCTCAGCTTTTTCCTTGTACATGTTACTTTACTGAAAAGCATAAAGCTGATGGACGTCCTCTGCTTAAAAATGGCTGCTTCTCTGGGGACTTGTAACCAAATATACAAGTCAATATTGGAACAGTGCCTAAGAACATGGTTAACAGAGGATTGCACTTACTTTAAAACTTCTTCAGTTTATAACAACTTGAGAAAGGAACAGATTGTCATGTGTTTGAAACATGAAGAACAGGGCCTGTGTCAGGCTGGCAGTATCCCAGAGTAAAGAAGTCAAGATGGTTGTCAGTGTAGTTGATCCCACCATAGGCTTGTCTTGGGCATTGGCCCTGACCGTAAGTTCTAGTGGAAAAAGCATTCTTCTTCTCCATATTTGCTAAGCATCTTTCTACCTGCAAGACTCTCAAGGCTATACTATCATATATTTCTTGGGGTCTAATTTAAGAAGGCTGAGCTAGCTCTCTCAATGAAATTATATAGATAGAAAATGGCTCTGTCTCCTACTTTTCCCATACTTTTTCAATTCTCTGACCAGAGTTCTATGACACAGAGACCATTTCTAGAGTACAGCATAATAAAGAAGGTCGACTTGTAGTAGCCTTAAGAGTCTCTGAAATCTGGGGAATGTAGGATTTTAAGGCAGGTAGAATCCAGCAGAACATCAGTGAGAGTGCTTCAACATCATTTTCTTATAGGTTGTTTGGAATGTGTGTATTTGAAAACAAGAGATAAGTTTAAGGGTTAAATGTATTCAAAGCACTTTAAGGACCCTAGATAAGAGCATTCTTTGACATACAGGACTTTGGAATCATGTTGCTTTTTGGGGTTGTCTCAACCAAGATACTTCGCTCTTTCCACTGAGGCCAGCGGAAAGGCATCAAGTGATTGGTTTCTTGTCTCAGCTGCTTCACTTGTTTTCTTCAGCATGGTGCCCGATGACTTGTTGAGGGATGAGCTGGTCCTATTATGTCCAAAGCCTGCCTGGGCAGTAACATGAGCTCTGTTTTGCTTTGCAGGAATACCTCCACGGGCCCACTCCCGAGATTCTAGTGATTCTGCTGATGGACGGGCAACTCCCTCTGAGAACCTTGTACCCTCATCTGCTCGTGTGGATAAGCCCCCCAGCGTGTTGCCCTACTTTAACCGTCCTCCTTCAGCCCTTCCCCTGATGGGTCTGCCCCCACCCCCAATTCCACCCCCACCACCTCTCTCCTCAAGCTTTGGTGTCCCTCCTCCTCCTCCTGGTATCCACTACCAGCATCTCATGCCCCCCCCTCCTCGATTACCTCCTCATCTGGCTGTACCTCCCCCTGGGGCCATTCCACCAGCCCTTCACCTCAATCCAGCCTTCTTCCCCCCACCAAATGCTACAGTGGGGCCTCCACCAGATACTTACATGAAGGCCTCTACACCTTATAACCACCATGGCAGGTAAAAACTATATTTCCCTGCAGATTTGAGCCAGGATAGTAGACAGTGTTTTTATTTATTTGTTTGTTTGTTTTTGAGACAAGGTCTCACTATGTAGACCAGATTGACCTCTAGACAGTATTTTGCTGGGCAGTGGTGGCACACACACTCCAGAGGCAAAGGCAGGCCAGCCTGGTCTACAGAGTGAGTTAAGTAGACAGTGTTTTAGACATTTGTTTTACATGAATTAGTACTGAATGCTGATACTTTTCCTCTATAATCGTGTTGTGATGTTGAGTCCTGGAACATAGATTAGTATCTGTCAGGTTTGTTTTGCATGCCTATATGTGCAAGTGCACGTGTGTGCAGCTGCATATGTGTTTTTGTGTACTTGAATATGGAAGCCAAAGGACAACCTTTGGTGTCATCCTCAATTTTGTTGTCCACCTTGCTTGAAACAGTGTTTCATTGGCTTAGAGCTGTCCACGTAGATTAAATTGGCTAGCCAGTGAGCCCCAGGGATCCACCTGTCTCCACTTTCCCAGTACTGGGATTATAAGCATGCTCCACCATTCCTGGTATTTTTATGTGGGTTCTGGGCATTTGAACTCAGGTTCTCATGCTTACCTGGCAGGCACTTTACTGGCTAATTTAGTTCCCCCAACTCCCATCAATGTATTTTATTTAGTGTTTTCTGTTTTCATCTTAACTACTTGACCCAAATCATATCTTTTCATAACTCCCTTTAAGCAGCTTGATTAAACTTGGTGCCATAAATGCCTGCAGTGATTAATACTTTTGTGTCAAACCAAAATTATGAACATATGTGACATGAATCCTGTCCTTGAAAAAAAAAAAGGAACGCATAAAACATTTGAGACATATCCTAGAGAAGAATTAAATAACAGTATTATAGAATATAGTGAGAGTAATAAAGGATGTGGCAGTCTGATATGGTATTACCTCTCTGCAGCCGAGATTCGGGCCCCCCACCCTCTACAGTGAGTGAAGCTGAATTTGAAGAGATAATGAAGCGAAACAGAGCAATTTCCAGCAGTGCCATTTCCAAAGCAGTGTCTGGAGCCAGTGCAGGTAATTAACTCTTACTTTGCTGCCTTTGGCTTAAATTTTCCCCTTTGTCATTTCCATTTGGAAAAGTTTGAAAAGTTGAAGTTGGAGCACTGTTAGATGTCAGAAGATAAGCACTTCAAAAGAAGAATATGACTTGGTTTCTTGGCTTGGGGAAGCTCCACTGATATGTCTAAGCCCTGTAGAGAACAACTCAGTGCCTACACATGAGTAATAGACACTAGTTCCTTTTGTATCTATTGTAGAATGTAATTGCTATCTCAGGAGATCTTTATCTCAGAAACAATCTTTAGAACTGTGTCTGTGTAGTAACTCCATACAGGTAGAATTAAAAGCTCTGGGGTTTTAGAAGTAGTGCTTCAACTAGATGGTGCTATGATAACAGATTTGGTACACTAAGAAATCTGGGCAGAGCTGGTGGCCTGTGGGTAGCCTGTTCTAGAAAGGCAAGTTTGTTATCGTCCTAAGGCATATCACACCCTTTTAGCTAACTTGCCCTGCTCTCAGCATTATCTTTTTACTTCCTATGTTTTAGACACCTATGTTATTAGTATATCTTAACATCTAATATTTGTTGAGCTCTACTGTGTGTCTGGCACTAGGCTAAACACTTTACATAGATTACTTTATTTGCCTACAAACTTACCTCATGAGTTGAACAACTAGTTATCTGTAGAGCCATTGTTCCTTAATTTATGTACCCTAGCCAGGTCCTAGCAAAGATAAAACAAACAATATTTTTATTTATTTATTTTTTATGTATACAGAAGAGGGTGCCAGATCTCATTACAGATGGTTGTGAGCCACCATGTGGGTGCTGGGAATTGAACTCAGGACCTCTGGAAGAGCAGTCGGTGCTCTTCACCTCTGAGCCATCTCTCCAGGCCCAACAAACAATATTATTAAGACATGGTTAAACATACACAGTTCTATGGACAGAAAATTTTAGAATTGTTGGCTCAGATGTTTATTTGGCAGTTTATTTTTATTTTTTAGACTTGTGTGTGTGTTGCATGTGTATATGTACATATATCACATGCATCCTTGGGACCCAGGTGCCCATTGGATTCCCTAAAACTGGAGTTAATGGGTGGTTGTGAGCTGTCATGTAGGTGTTGGAACTCAAACCTGGGTTCTCTATAAGACCAACAAGTGATCTGAACAGCTAAGCATCTCTCTAGCCCTAGGACAGTTCATTTTAATCAGTGTTGTCAGGTAGCCCTTGGACAATAATCAGGATGCACTGATTATAGGGCCACTAACTAGCCTTTGTCAGATTTCAAACTATACTATAACTCATTCAGTTTTATACCTGCTGTGTCTGCCTTGTCCATTTTACCATGGCCCTTTAAAACAGCCAGTCACTCAGAATTTGTGTCCTCCTGCATTCTCTTTTTGGTCCAGTTTGGTTACTGTCTTTTCTTATCTTTGGCCTTTCTCTCCATCCTACCAGGGGATTACAGTGACGCCATTGAGACACTACTCACAGCCATTGCAGTTATCAAACAGTCCCGAGTCGCCAATGATGAGCGTTGTCGTGTCCTCATCTCCTCTCTTAAAGACTGTCTTCATGGCATAGAGGCCAAGTCATACAGTGTGGGTGCCAGTGGAAGCTCTTCCAGGTGAGCTGATTGCTTTGGGGGCTGATGGGCCTCGAGCAGTACTGTCCTGCAGGTTGGCTGGGAAAAGAAGGACACCCAGGGTATCTGAGAAGGGTCTGGATTAAAGAGGGGACCTAACATTCATGTCTTTAAGGAGAAGAAATTAATGAGATGATTTCATTAATTATTGTTAATGTCTGAAACCTGTCTTCTATAGAATCATTGGCCTCATTTAGGAAAAAAAGACTAATAAAGAACACAGACTTCCATGCTGGGGAGGTAGCTCAGTGATAAGACTTCTTGCCTAGCATTCATGAGGCCCTAGGTTCAATCTTCACCATGGGATCAAGGAAAAGGGGGAATTGGACTAGGTAGACACATGGGGATTTTGAATCTTAGGTTTGAATTTCAGTTCGGTTGCTAACTACCTGTTTGACCATCTTGAGTATGGAAGTTAGCAACGTTCCAAGACTTAAGGGGGAAAGTCCTAGTACTTACCTACAGACCTGTTATAAAGATGAAATCATAATACTTGCAAAATTCTAAATACCCCATCCAATACAGTAGTAAGGTCTTAACAAATCTGTCAACCATTTCCCCCATAAAGATTAGGCTTCAAAGAGCTAAGCTCCTCAGACAGTACCCCCATGATAGAGAACTAAGAATATTTTAAGCAAACACTGGAAGATACAAAACCCCATGTGGAAAGAATGTGGTAGGCCCTCTGAGTTGAGACTGAAGGATCTTTCTGATAGGAAAAGACATCGGTCCAGGGAGAGGTCACCCAGCCGGTCCCGGGAGAGCAGCAGGCGGCACCGAGACTTGCTTCATAATGAAGATCGGCATGATGATTATTTCCAAGAGAGGAACCGGGAGCATGAGAGACACCGGGATAGAGAACGGGACCGGCACCACTGAGAAAGGTGGGAAGAAGCCCTGTTCCTGAACAATGGATTGAGTATAAACTGGGTGTGGTGGCTCATCCCCGTAATCCCAGCATTGGGAGGTCAAGGCAGGAGGATTGCCATGAGTTGAAGGGCAACCTAGACTACAAAGTGAGACCCTGTCTCAAAAAGAAAGATTTGTTATAGAGATGTTCCTCTCTCCCCCGAGTTCTCAATAAATGAAAACCACTGTTACTATCATTATTACATTTTTAATACCAATTTTCAAGTAAAAGGGAAAACTGGCCAAGGCAGGATTATTGCCTTAGTTTTCATGAAGCAATATTAATGACTTCAAGAATTGATAGCCATTAAAGAGATTTTGAAAACTGGAGGTTTAGTTTAGGAAAAACCATTCTGAAAAATCCTTCATAGCTTTAGAGACCCTATGAATAATTATAATAGAAGGATATTTTTGCTTTTAGTAGGCTTTGTTAAAAGCAGGGGTGTGAGGGAATTGGCGTGGGTAATTGAAATTAGATCGGATTGTCTGGCTCGGGGACTGTGTCAGCAGTATTTAGGCTCCCTGTCTCTCAGCTCTGCTTTTCTCGATTTTCATTCACAGAAACATCTCCATCTTGGAGGATGAGCCTGTAACTCTTGAGTTTTATCCCACCATTTTGCAATCCCAACTGAAAGAAAGCTGCTAAGGATTGTTTGTGGTGTAGGAAAGAGTGGGTGTTGGTTCTGTTTCTGTGGAGATGTATAAAATAGACTAGAATATGGCTAGGAGGAGCTGTCTGGTCTGTGGTCTGCTTGATTGTTGAGAAGTAGTGTAGTTGAGCAGGCTGTGTAGATCTTAACTATGGATGACTGGATGACGGAAACTGGAAACCCTTACTTGTGTATCTTCATAGTTCGTGGTAAACTCAAATCTTTTGAACACTGCCTAGGTACAGCTTACTAACAGACAAGAAAGCATTCCCTTGTGTTTGCCCTCTACTTTGTTGTTGGCGTTATCTACCTTAACTTTTTCGGTTTTTTGAGACAGGGTCTCTTTTATATGGTCTTGACTTTCATGGGCTCATTATATAGACCAGGCTAGACTCAAACTCACAAAGATCCTCCTGTCTCTGACTCTTGAAAGCTGGGATTAAAAACAACCTGGCACTTTACTTAAACAGTTTCATAGCTGAGAGTGTTTTTGTCATCTTCCACAGAAAGTAAATGGAATGATAAAAATTACTAAAGTTTTCAATCTACATCTTTCTCTGTCCTTTTTTTTTTAAAGCTGCCTGTTTCTTTTTCTCTTGTCTTTTTTTTTTTTTTTTTTTTTTTTTTTTTTGGTTTTTTGAGACAGGGTTTCTCTGTGTAGCTTTGCGCCTTTTCCTGGAACTCACTTGGTAGCCCAGGCTGGCCTCGAACTCACAGAGATCCGCCTGGCTCTGCCTCCCGAGTGCTGGGATTAAAGGCGTGCGCCACCACCGCCCGGCCTTTTCTCTTGTCTTTTTAAATAATTTTTTTCATACAGTATATTCTGATCATGGTTCCCCCTCCCTCATCTCCTCCCAGATCCTCCTCACCTCCCAAACAATCCAACTCGTGCCTTCTTTCTCTCTTTAGAAAACAAACAGGCAAATGCTTTCTTTGTTCTTTACTTATCTCATGGAATTCTAAAATGTAGACTAACGCGCATAAGAGCCAACAATTTAGCTCTGAATGAGTTCTGTGTTCGTCTTTCTAGATTTTTGCAACATACTTCGTTTTGAAAGGTGCTCACATAACATACGTAGCCTGTGGAAATGCAGGTTAATGAAGATGGAGCCTACTAGTGGCTTTGGCCTTCTTTCTTGTTGGGGCTGGGCAAGGTGGGCATGGATGTCTTGGTTCTACTCTTTCCCTTCAGTAAGTAGCAGCATCACCTCTTCTGAGCTAGCACAATTGAAGACTTACTTGAAATCCAAAACAACCAGTGCTGGGTGTTGTGATCAAACTTGGGGTGCTGGTACTCAGGAAGCCTAGATAGAAGAACCACAAGTTCAAGGGCAGCCAGGGCCACGTAGCAGGACCTAGTGGGAGGGCGTGGGGGGAGCCATCCCCTCCCATTATGTAGTATGTGTTCTTTGGAAATGGATAGGATAAGAGGTTTAATCCCAGCCCTCAGGAGGCAGCGGCAGGCAGATCTCTTCAGTTGTGGAGGCCAGTCTGGTCCACAGAGTGAGTTCCAGGACAGCCAGAGCGACACAGAGAAACTCTTGTCTTGAAAAACTAAAACAAAGTGATCAGGAAGGGAGCTGTTAATTGGTCTGTACAAAGCAGCAGTTGTAGTCTTAATCCATATTCAGTGTACTTAATAGACTATATGACTGTATATGAACATTCCTGCTGCCTTTGCTCCTTTAACAACCTTTTGACGGTGAAAGTGCCAGCAAGATTTATTGATCTACCTGAAAGTCCTCTTTTGGTAGTTATAGAAAAACATTTATTTGACTGGCACAGGCCTGTGATGAAGTGAGGAAAGCTCACTCTTGGGTAAGTTTTCCACGTCACTTCTTTTCCTGTTCCCCTAACATATATGTACAAGTGAATCAGACACTTTAAAAAGAGAAAAAAAATCATCTGTAATTTTCATGGTAGTCTGAATTGTATCTTCATTTACTAAATTGTAGCTTAGAAGGGTTTCATGTTGGGGAAGTGATGTACAGGTCTCTCTGTAAAGAACTTAATCCTCCATGCTATTTGAACAGCATTTATAGCATCTTTTCTTAAAAAGATGGTTGTGTTTCTATGCTGTGAACATGTGTTCCTTGATCAAGAAAGGTATGTTTTGTGCAGAGGCATCAATGGAACAGCAACATCCTCTTCTGTTCCTCAGGAGAGAGCCCCAGCTCTGGGGCTTGATGGGCCAACTAAAGTGATGGATCTTTGACTTTGTCTGCATTCAGACACTACTGCCAGCACCAGTTCCCTTGACGAACCAGTTACCCTCTGTGTCTCATTCTGTAAGGACACTTCACAAAAAATGTCTTTTCTTTAGGACGTGCATGTGTATGCTTTGGAGTTTGAGGGTGTTCTAGGTGGTCTGTGTCTTCAGTTCTCTATAATTATTGTCCATTATTTTTAGGGTGTTTCTTACTTGAAATAGATTCGTTCTCACTTTATTCATGTCCTCCTGATCCATTGAAAACTGGGCTTTCTGTTCAAGTTTGAACAGAAATTGGCTTAAAGATTCAGCCAGTTCTGATGGTACATGCCTGTAATCCCAGCACTTGGAGGACTAAGGTAGGAGGATCATAATTTCAAAGCAACCTAAGCTACACAGCAGGACCCTGTCTGGAGAAAACAACGTTCAGGAGCCTGAATTTTAGGAAACAAAGAAGGCACCAAGAGCTTTAGTTTTTCTTTATAGAAAAAAGGACAAATACTTGCACATATGTTTAGAGATGTCAGCAAGAAGATGATGATACAGATTCTGAGTAGCAGGCTAAGATAGTGCCAGCCCAGGGTTAGAAGGATGAGGCAGCATGCAGATGTCTTTTGTGTGTATATGTCTTTTTGGCTGGCTCTTACAAGATTTGTGAGGCTTTTTTACAAAGTTACTTATATAAAGGGTAAGCATTCATGTATGGCTGCAGTTCTAGGTTCAATTTAGTACATTGAATTTACTAAATTTATTGAATTTAATTCTCCCCTTTCCTTCTTACTGTTGCTTCTGTTTTTATCATCAAGTGACCATACTACCATCTACATGTTTCGAGTTTGCTAGGGATCTTAAGATTAGCAATGTGGCAAGTGGCCTAGCAGACTCTTCTATTGGGTGTAAAGGTTCTGAACAGGCTGTCAGATATTTTTGGTGATGACTTCTACTGTTTCTTCTTCCATCTCTGCGTTAGTTCTGGCTTGGCCAAGTCATTCCTAGTTAATGTTCTTGTACTTTTGGGTCCTCATCACAACAGTTATCTGGGGAAAGTCTTACAATCACTTGCATTTTATTCAGTACAGCCTGAAAAGGCTCTGTTGCTGTGTATCTGTGTGCACACGCATAAGCATAATGTTTGGAATCTGTATTTTGGTTTGGTTTGTGGCTTTTGGTTGGGGTGTATGAGTGTGTATGCTCTTTGGTTTTGAAGTCTGTTCTAACCAGGGCTGCTTTAAAAGAAAACAGATAATTGAGGAGTTTGCTATGGGAGTGCTTCCTGCTGGTACCTCTGGGGTGTTTTGGGAATTGGTGGATTTGGTTGTATATACACTTTTTTTCTTACTATTATTTCTCCCTTTTCTTTTTCTTTTCTCTCTTTTTTTTCTTCCCCTTAAGGTAAGCTATGACTTGCTCATAATGGACTTTCTGAAGCTGTGTTTCCTTGCAGCAACTTTTCTTGAAATGTTAATTCCCAGCCTTTCCCTGCTAAAATATTCTCAGACTGCTTTCAGAGACTTCATTCTATTGTCTGTGTTTTCCTCTTAACCTTAAAAATGTCACCATTTTGGTTAGTCTTAATCTCTATTCATTGTGTTCTCTCCACCCATTTCCTCACATTACTCGATGCCAGACAGTCCACTTTATTGTACTTTGCTAAGCTTGCATTCTCTTCCTACATTCTGACTTAGGTTGTGATTTCAGGAAATGCCAGTGTGTCTCATATAAGCCCTTACTGATAAAGAGAGTGGCCTCTAACTGGTGTTTTCTTCTCTTCTGGTGCTTTCATTGCAGGAGTCTGTCTGGGTGGAAGCAAATTGTTTTTAATGGACTTGCATCTCCTCACCTTGATCAGGACTAAAGGACGGAGGCCGCTCCACCCCTTTCCCCTCTTCCAAACCCCTAACTTCCTCCAGGCAATACCCTCTGCCCTACAGGATTGAAGATGGCTCAGCAGCCCTCCCAATCCCATACCACCTGTTTGCCAGGGGGGAAGAACCTAAAGACTTGATGGGGTAGAGAATGGGGGCAGACAGGAGGACAGCAACATGTCCAGCCCCTAGTCTCCATAGAGAATGGTGCTTTGTCCAAGGAAACCTGAGTTTCTGATTCCCCAGGAGCAGTCAATGGTGAGGTTACTGAGAAAACTTCCTTCCCAGAGACAATGGATCCTCTTTGTGGGATCTTAGGAGAGTGACTGGGTGTGCCAAAAATGCCCAGGGTTCTGCCCTCGGTACTAGATTTGGTGGGGGCAAGAGGGTCCAAACCCTGCTAACATACCACTTCTTTGTTCAACTCCTTTACCTTCCTAGCCCTTTGAGGAGGGACCATGAGAACAGAAACTACCTTGTGACAAGCTGCTGTTCTGGGTTTTCTCTTCTCACGTATTGACGGTTTATTGCCCTGGCCTTCTAGAGGGCTGACTCCTTTTGACCCCTTGCTATCTAACTCCTCAGTGGACTTGCCCCTCAGAAGCAAAACCCAGGAGGTTCCTTTCTCCTGGAGGCCTAGCCAAGCCAGTTACCACCATTTGCTGCTTCAGGCTCGGTTGTCTGTTGCAATAACCAGCTCTTAGATGTTTCCTCTCCCTGAGGTTTTCCATTTAACATGGAATCCTTCCCCCAAGAAGGCTGCTTCCTTGTTTTAGAGGAAGGTATTGCCTTTGGGACATAGGGATGTCATGGGACCTCAGTAATGAGGACCCCTAGTTAATTAAGTACCAGGAGTGTGGGGAAGGAAGCAATTTGAGCAGGATGTGGCCTACTTGCATGGGCTCTTCTTTTTCAGGTTTGATGTAAGCATGGGCTTGCATCCCCACGGTACATACTTTGACTTATTGTGGGATAACTCAGCACTAGTAGGCAGATAAAGTCACAAATGTGGTGTTTTGTTGGGTTTTTTTTATCCTTTGACTATAATACTTCCCCTCACTTGGCCTGGAGGTGCTTCCTGCCTTTGACAAAGAGCAGAGAAGAAATGGAGCCTGACTTAAGTGAACTCAGCTAAGAGTTCTGAGGGCCAGCACACTCATGGCTGTTTTCTGCACAGGCAAATGGAATTGCTTTCCTCAGCATCCAGATTGTGATAGGTTGCTCCTGCAGGAGGCAGCCACAGTCCTGGAGTACCATAGGGTGATGTTCCTTCTGCATGCATCTGCAGGGTCTATGACATCTAATGTGAAAAGAGACGTGGCGTGTGAGATGAGACTTGGTATGTGAGACCCATCAGACTCAGAAGAGAGACTGAATTGGATCCTTCCTCTCTTCCTAGCACACTTCTAATAGACCCCTTCAATCACTGAGGGAGCATCCCCAGGGTTGGAGAGGCACATTCCTTTGGGACAGGCTACAAGTTGTAGCTTATCTTCCTGTCCTCCAAGCCAATCCCTATTCCACTTCAGAACATGACACCCTGCCCAATTGGCCAAGTGTTAAGTGATGTGCTTATTCTTGAAAGCAACTTGGGGTGTCTTTTTAAAATGTAGAGAAAACCAAGTAAAGTGACAGTTAAGGAAAAACAATATATAGAATATCAGAAAAGCTGTTTACCCGGAGAATTATTTTCTCCCCATTTTTGTTTTATTTTTACTCAATGACAGAATTTTTAGTTTTATTCCTCATAGCAAAAGGAGAAAAAAAAAAAAAAGAATCCCAGCCCTCAAAAGGTCAAGGCCCCGTCCCCCTGTTGTCGGTGATTTGTTTGTCTTTCTGATAGGTTGAAAATTGTGTAATAAACTTGATGACGATGTCAATCTTTTATACTGCATTGTATTTTTTTTCCTTTTGTAACAAAATATTTTTAAATAATAAATGGGGTGTGAGCTGTTTACGGATTCTGCATTGAATAGATTTGTTGAGGTGTCTGGGCCATGGGTGTGGACTGATGCAGATACTGTGTGATGTAGGGAAACTTCAGGTTCTTAACTAACTTGGTGATGGGCAGTCGTTTCTCCACAGTTGTAGCCGACATGGTGAGCCCCCTAGACATAAAATTTGAACCTTTACTTGTGCCTCTCATGGTTTGTCCTTTCCCTGAGTTAAAGAGCGCTTCCAAGTCATCCTGACCACTCATGTTCTCCAGTCTTACTTGCACATTGTGTTTCCTGTCCTGTGGAGTTCTGGTGGTATCCAGTTTGAAATAAACACCTGGGTGCTAGTACTTAGGTCCTCCATCTACTTAACCATAGGCAAGCAATATGTCCTCAGTCTCTCATCAAAACGAGAATAATTGCTGTTCTGCCTTCGTATTAAAGATGCATTAGGAATCACATAATGAATGTGTTTTGTGAACAGAGTTACCATCTAAATATGAGAAGTAGAAACTAGAAAGCTTAGAAGTACTGAGGGGTTTCCATAAGAGCTCTCCTTTTAAAGCAGTACAGATAAAGGCCCACTGGCAAAGTAGTCATATCTTAACAATTTACTGTTTGGACAAATATGACAAGAGGGGTTAAGTACTGAAATGCAGGTGTTGAGCTAGTCCCTAAAACTTAGTATCTAAGCCTGAATGGAGGAATTAGATTCAGAATCCACAAAAATCAGGAATGCATCCATAAAGTCACTTGGATTGTTTTGTGTGTTTTGGTTTTTGTTTTTTTTACATGCACATATTAGTGCATGTGTGTGTGTCTGCCTGTCTTCATACACACAGGCCTACGTCTAGAGGTCAGGACAACTTGCAGACTTTGTTCTCGATTACCATGTGGTTCCTGGGGAATCAGGCTTGCCACCTTAACCCACTGAACCATCACACCAACCCTTTTGTTTTTTAAGACAGTCTCTTACATCTTAGGCTGACAATGAACTGATCCTTCTGCTTCATCTCCCAAAGTGCTGGGATTATATAGGTATACCACCATGCTCGGTTAGGTCACTTTTTTTAAGTGAAGTAAGAATAGGCTTACATGACAGAAAGATAAACTGCAGACCAGATGTGTACTGTTATTGGGGGAAAAAAGGAAATTCCTTGGATGGGCTAGATTTTCTAGTGCCTCACTATTGAGATGTGTATTCTCACATTGGGGTCAATGGTCACGTGCATGTCAGTTACCTGCTATGCTTGCTAAGTACCAGGTTTGCTCCATCCACCTATTTAACATTCAGCCATGTGCTTTTTATGCCCTCAGACTTTGTACCGTCTCAGAACATTGGTGTCTCCAGGTCTGTAAAGTAGCTTGCCTCACTCTCACAAGCATAGCTTTTAGCCACGTTAACTCCCTAGGCCAGATGATTTCAGCACTGAAAGGAATGAAGCTGGAGGATAGTTTAAGGTCATGCTGGACTAAGTAGAGAATCTCTGTCTCAAAAAAAAAAATGAAGTCAATTCAGGCCAGATAGAGTGGTATACCTATAGTCCCAGCACGCAGGAGTTTGAAACAGGAGGATCATTTGAAACTACCTGTAAACGCTCCCCCATCTTAAAAAAAAAAAAATTGTAAAAACATGTATTGATTATAGTGTTTGCTTCACGATCACAGTAAAATGCTGTGGTCTACAGAAAAGCTAGAGCTCAGTCTTGAGATGGGGCCCCAGGCTAGTCTCAAAGCTGTGACCCTCACCCCTGCTTCCAAAGTGGTGGGGACTAAGGTGTCCCACCACATCCAGTCACTGTCTTGGTTTCTCTTGTGCATGACTATTCAAGTGGCTCCAGCAGCATGAAGAACAAGGAGCCACCCATGGCAACCAGTGGACTAAGTTTCCACATAAGTGTGAAGTGAAATGATGTCCTACTCAGCCATTAAACTCATCCTCAGTGGCACTGTGGGTGTATACCACTGTGCCCTGGCTGGGTCTCTATTTATAGTTCACTTTGTACATGTTGACTTGTAAGACAGGCTTAGAGTTCCATGGGTGCTTTTACTTCTCACCTCTAAGCCTACAAAATGGATGAGTACAGTCTCAAAAGCCCTTCTGAGGCACTTGAGAGATGGCTGTGGTTAAGAGCACTGGCTGTTCTTCCAGAGGACTGGGGTTCAATTCTCAGCACCCACAGGACAACTTAAAACTAAACTGTAACTCCCAGTTCCAGGGGATCTGATTCCTTCACACCAGTGCACATAAAGTTAAATTATTTAAAATGTATCTTAAAAATTTTTTTTAGAAAGTCCTTCTGAATTTTAACAATTAGGTGTAGAAGCCACTTCCACTTAGCTGATCTTTGTTCATTTGTGCTCCTGAGAAGGGGGCTGAAACCAGTGAACATCTAAATGAAATCTGGAAGTCACGGAGAATGGGTTCCTCTCTATTCTAGGCCACTAATCAAAGCAAAGCTAGAGAAAGCAAATGTGAGAAGCAGAAAGTTGATGTTCAGTGAGACAGGAGATAGAAACATCAGGAGAGTGCCTATTAGACATTTTTGTTATTTTTTGTGGTTGAACTTTCATCATAGACTCAAGGACAACTAGGAGGCAAGGGCACAGAGAGGAGAAAACAAAAGCATCAGTGCTTTGGGCTGTGGAGCCCATAGAATGACAGCCTTAAGAAAGTTAAGAAAGGGGGCTGGAGAGATGGCTCAGAGGTTAAGAGCACTGGCTGCTCTTCTAGGAGGTTCTGAGTTCAATTCCCAGCAACCACATGGTGGCTCACAACCATCAATGAGATCTGGTGCCCTCTTCTGGCATGCAGGCAAAACACTGTATACATAATAAATAAATCTTTTTAAAAAAAAAGTTAAGGGGCTGGAGAGATGGCTCAGTAGTTAAGAGCACTGGCTGCTCTTTCAGAGGACATGGGTTCAATTCCCAGCACCCACATGGAAGCTCACAACTGTGACTCCAGTTCCAGGGGATCTGACACCCTCACACCAATGCACATAAAATGAGTTTAAATAAAACATTAATAAAAGAAAGTTAAGGGGGAAAAAAAACAGGCTTAAAAGGCAGCATAAGAAAACAAAAATCTTCCAGGATCTGTCTGACACAGAAGATTGACCTCAAGGCTTCCTACAGTGGACTCTTTCACAACTCCTGGTAGCCTCCTGGAATAAAATACATGGCCATATTCAGCACTGACCAATAAATGTTCCTTTTCAGCTAATTCAAGGAAAAAGGTTTTGGTCAGTTTTTGAATATACTTCTTGCAATTTCTAATTATACGTGGCCTATGCGGGAAAGAACTGAGACAGCAAACCTGGGGCAGCAGTGGAACATTTACCCAGTCTTTAAAGAAGACAAACACCATGGCAATGCCTGTTGGGATTCAGGCTGCAACTTGGGTATGGGGGGGGGGGGGGGTAAAGATTAGTGGGACACTTTCATCACTACCTCTGTGTCGAAGTTTACCACTAAGCAGCCTCAGAACACACTGCTGGGACAGCCTCTGCCCTCACTTAGAAGAGATGAAACTTAAAGACAGGTGTCATATAGAAAAGAAAAGACAACCAGCCCCACGTGAGAAAATAATTTTTATTATAAAACCATGTTTTCTTCATGATCATAATAGAAAAATACTATGAACTACTAAAAGGGGGTTCTGGATCTCCATCTCTGAGCATGGAGGGTAGAGGGTATTTGAATCAGCCCAGGAGCCCATCATCATGACTTTTCGTGCTCATGCAGGACAGATGTGGTACATGTACAGGGTGCTGTGGCTCAGGTCCTACTGGAAGCCCAGCAAGCCTAGATGGTCCACACAGGGAACTCTGGCCATGATGACCAAGGAAGAAAACTTGAGGTCAGTAGGAAGCTGTTAGACCAAGATGGGGACAGCCTTGCCCTTCCTTGCCCTTCCCTACCACAAAATGTCAGTGTCTTCTGCTGATGATCCTGGTTTAAAGACGATGCCACTGACCTCAGGTAGGTGCTCAAGGCCCAAATGTCTGTACTGAGGAAAAACCACACCGGACCTTTCCCAGGCCAACTTGACCTACCCCTTTTCACAATTGTGGCTGAAGTGCCAGAAGGATAAGTGTTGTCACCCTGATGGGCTACCAGTTGGGAGTTCTTGTACTTCAGATCCTGTCCATACTAAAGGCAGAAAGAAAGAAACTGTTAAAAGACCAGTGAGTGGGGCTGGAGAGATGGCTCAGCAGTTAAGAGCGTTGGCTGCTCTTTCAGAGGACTCAGGCTCAATTCCAAGCTCACAATTGTCTGTAACTCAAGTTGCAGTGGATTTGAATCCCTCACACAGACATACATGCAGGCAAAACACCAATGCACATAAAATAAAAAATAATTACTTAAGCCGGGCGGTGGTGGCGCACGCCTTTAATCCCAGCACTCGGGAGGCAGAGGCCAGCGGATCTCTGTGAGTTCGAGGCCAGCCTGGGCTACCAAGTGAGTTCCAGGAAAAGCGCAAAGCTACACAGAGAAACCCTGTCTCGAAAAACCAAAAAAAAAAAAAATAAATAATAATAATAATAATAATAATAATAATAATAATAATTACTTAAAAAAAAAAAGACCATTGAGTAACAACTATTAGCTTGAACTCTGTATATTTCAAGCTTCTTTACTCCAAAGAAACAGAAGACTATCTTCCTTAAAAAAGAAACTTTTGGGACTGGGAAGATAGTTCCGTGGTAAAAGTATTTGCCACCCAAGCATGAAGACCAGCACCCATGGAAGGAGAAATGAGATTTCTGGGGTAAGCTGGCTAGCTTGGCTAGCTGGATTAGCCAAATCGGAGAGCTTTGGGTTCAAGTGAAAGACTCTCCAATATATAAGGTGGAAAGTGATTGATGAAGACATCTGATATCACCCTCTGGTCTGCACATGCACACATACTACACACCTACCTACCTACCTGGACATTTGTGTATACACAGGTAAACATACATATGCAGCCCACACACAGACAACCTTCCTACCTACTGAAAGTAAGGAAAGCA